CGCCACCTCCACGCCAGCGCGGGCGGGCCTCCGTGTCCCCCGTGGAGTGACAGGTGAGCAGGGGCCCGGCCCAGGACGCCCGTTGTTGCAGAAACCCGGTGTTCGACCCTCCTTGGGAAAGTGCACGTTGCCTGCACCGCCCCCAGCCCCCCCAGGCCCCCGGGTGGCCGCCCCCCCACTGCAAAGCAGTGACACCCCGGCTCTGGGACCCTTTCTGAAGACTAAATAGCGCTTCGCGGGCTGCAGATGCCGCTCACAGTGTGCGTGGTCCCTGGCAATCTTTGGGGGGCACGTTGGGGTTCCCGCTGGGAGACAGGGAGAAGGGGGCTCAGAGTGGCTCCCACACTCTGGCTGGGACCTGAGCATCTCATGGATGAAGAAACTGAGTCCCAGAGGGCGTCGGCCCCCACCCACCCCAGCCACAGGGCTGGGAAGGGGACAGAACAGGGGTGCAGCAGAGCCGGGTCTGTCTGCCCCAAAAGGCATCTTGCAGACAAGACACCCCCAGGCCACGTGGGTGTCTCTACAGGTGGGGCTTCCTTCCTTCCTTCCCCCTCCGGGCACTGCTGGATGGGGAGAATGTCCCCCTGCTTCTCTGGAATGCCGTGGGTCCGGGCCCTCTGGGCCTGGGATCTGGGGACCCCCTCTCTCTCTGCGAGCATCAAGGTAGTTCCGGGAATTCAGCCCCTGTTGGCACCAGCAGCCAAACCAAGGCGTGGCCAGAGGGCTTGGAGGAGAGGATGAGGATGGCAACAAGCTTCCCAGTTCATAGCAGTTAATGCCCACGTCCGGCATCGTGGCAGGGCGAGCTCGTGTGGGCAGAACAGGTGGAGTTTGCCCGTGTTTGTAAGGGGAGAGACAGAGGTCTGTACGTTTCAGTTAGATACTCCCCAGCTTGTCTCTGCGCGGGCGTGGAACGGAATTTCATGTCTCCAGATGCTCTGTTCGTCCTTGGTGCTTTGTTCCTCATACATGCCCAGGCTAACGTCTCTCATTCCCTTCGATCAAAAGGTCAGAAGAAGGCCGGGCGCGGTGG